TTTTTTTTTTTTTTTTCCTTCCTCCAAGAATGATAATTCTTACGGGCAGGGGGAAATGTGGCTAGCCTGGCAGAATATGTGATGCTGAGGAACTATGTGGCCATCACTGTGTGAGTGTGAGCCACCTTGGGGTGGCTTTCACAGGGGTGCCCCTCCAGGAGAGAGAACTCCTCCTTTTTTAGTCAGCTGGTAAGCCCCAGGCCCTAGTGTGCCTCACAGACATCAGCATTATCCACACTAAAAGCTTCATACTGAACAGTCAACAAACCAAGCACTTGAATAATGTGAGACATTCTAAAGTGGTAGCTGACTTTTATTGGCTGAGATACTGCTTTCTCTCTTGTTGACACAAATAGTAAGTTTTTGTCCAGATTTAAGGTCCTTAAAGGGTTTTTATTTATGAGAGGTGGGTGGAGGGTGTAGAAAGCTGGGGAAGGAAATTCCCCCTATGATCCACTAAGAGGACATTCCTAGAACACACAGACTTTCATCCCAGTTTCTTGATTTGCAAAAGACTGGCTTTCAGATAATTTTGACTATGTCTTTTCTCAAATTGAGAAGAGTTCCCATTATTAGTCTTTGGCAGGAGGACAAGGTTAGCTGCTGTCTGGCCTCTCCTTTTAGCCAGAGACTGAAGCACTTTTTAGACTTCTTGTGCTGGGTTAAAGGGCAGACTCTTAGGTTTTTGGCCTACTTTTTTTTAAGGATTTGCATTGTGACATTTTATCTGTCTCTAAAAAGTACATGCTGATAACAGCATCCATATGTCTCGATTCCTGAGAGAGCCATAAGGATAAGAAATGTTATTTGAAAAGCAAGCTCAACTCAGAGGCTGTGAAAATACAATTGTTTGTATTGGTTACAGCACCTTTGCTTCCTGCTCTGCCTACTAAGAGTGACAGGGTTAGCATTCCCAGAATCAGGGGTCTTGGGGTTTAGGGAGAGGTGGCTGACCCAGGGCCAGATACTTTGAATATCTGGCCACTTGAAGGATTTTGTCGGATCCTTACTTTTAAGAATTTTCTTTTAATTAAAGTTATGAGAAGAATTGGTGAAAAAGAATTCGTTTTACATAATTGAAAGGAGCTCTGGTGGCGTAGTGAGTAAGGCATTTGGCTGCTAACCAGAAGGCTGGTGGTTCAAACCCACCGGTTATTCTGTGGGAGGAAGATGAGGCAATTTACTTTCATAAAGATTTATGGCCTTGGAAACCCAGTGGGGGTCCCTATGAGTCAGAACTGACTTGAAGGCAGTGGGTTTTTTTGTTTACATAATTAATTCAAGCCTTCTGAGGGGATAGGCAGGCCTCATGGTAAGTTTTACTTGTAGAAATGAAAGGCACATCTCCACCATGTGTTGGCTTGGCTGTTTAGAAAACATCTTATAAAGTGTATTTGACATCCTGTTTTTAAGGGTTCACTTTTATGGGGTGCCAAACCACTGCATGTTAGGACCCTTCTCAAAGGACAGCAGGTTGTGGCTTTCAGTCTTCTGTTCCTTCCTTTACTTAGTGGAAGGCGGGAAACCACCAGAATGAATTTTGTTTTAAATTCACCAGGATTCCTTTTACCCACAAGAGATCATTTAGCTGCTGTGTGTTGGGAGCAGATTTCCCTAATGTCACCTGCAGTCATTGTCAAGCTCCCTTACTAAAGGTTGCTCCTGAAGCTGGTCTTGGGAATGGCAGAGATAAGCTGTCCATTATTTGCTAGCCTGGGTGGTGGGCCTAAGAGAGAGAAGAAAAGGAAAGCTGTGTACTATGTCTGCTCTGCAGGTGATCACAAAGCTTGCTGGCATGGAGGAGGAGGAGTTGGCATTTTCAACGAAAGAAGAACAACAGCAGCTTTTACAGAAAGTTCTGGCAGCCACTGACCTAGATGCAGAGGAAGAGGTGGTGGCAGGAGAATTTAGCTCCAAATCTAGCCAGGTGAGTTGGTGAGGGCTATCTCCTGAAGGCACAGTTCACACACAGATTTGCACATGGCATATGTGCATGTGATTTATTTTTTAAAACACAGAAATACGTAGAGAAGAGGACAGTGGAAACAGCCCTGGTTAGTCTTCTGGTGCCTGTTTTTCCTCCCGCATGTATGGTGAGCCTTAGCTGAGCTCATCTGGCAGCACAGTAGGCTCCTTCTGGGTTTCCAGAATGACAGTCCAGTGGAGCATTGTCATAATCTTGATACTGTAGCCCAGGGTTTCAAATGAATGACCCCAAGCTCTCACTAATGGCTGCTGGAGGGTATGTGATGGGCCTGGGGCTCAGAAGACGTGTATCATCCTTAGGCTGCCTTTGAGCCTTGAGTAAGTCATTCTTCTGTGGGCCCTGATTTCCTCCTTGTCAATAGAGTTGAGCCTTCCAATCAAGAAGATAGATCTGAGGGTCAGCTGATACCATAGCTTCAAAAGTTATTTTGAAAAATTTAAGAGTTCTCTGGAAATAGTCATCCTTCTATTTATTCTGGAAATACTTACAGAATGCCTGCTAAGTACTAGGCATGTATAATAACAGTATTATTAAAATATCATTATGGAGAATTCTAATCAGGCCCTCAGGAGAGAAGTGTAATTTAAGTCAGATGTTTTTATTTAATTTTTATTTTTTGGTGAAAAAACTTTACAAAATTTATTCTTGCTATTTAAGTCTTACATTCTTAGGTAAGTCAGATGTTTTTAAAATTAAATTGGTATTAGAGCCAATGGGTGAGCATTGGCTGAAGCAGTCAAGAAAGCAGTAGCTGTTACTTGTTGAGGTGCTGCTCTCCCTCCATCCTGAGACCTTCTTCCCAACAAATACGAGGTTTGGGAGCTGGATCACCCTGCTTGCCTCTGACTCTGTACTAAGATGATCACTTTAGTGCTCTCTACACACATGGTCTCTGCACTTGTGCTGGGGCTCTGCTAGACTTTGGGTCAAACCCTTAACGTGATCTCTGTTCACAATCATCTATAAAGGCAGATAGTGTTAGCCCCATTTTATAGATGAGTTTATTGAGGCATAGAAATTACATAATTGTCCCAGATCACCCTGGTGGGTGAGAGGTGGATTCAGGATTCAATCCCAGTGCTTTTTGGCTTTCCACTTGATTTCAAAGCTTCGTTCATGATAGAGTCTCAGAGGAACTGGGGGGTACTTCTTCCTTCACTGTTAATAAATTAAAAGAGGCAATATGGTATTATGGCTAAGAATAGGAAATCTGAAGCCAGACTGCCTCGATTCATATCCCATCTTCTTAGGAGCTATGTGATCTTAGACAAGTTACTTAATCACTCTGTGCCTCAGATTCCTCTTCTGTAAAATAAGGACTATACAGATGTGACAGTCAATACATGTAATACATGTAAAATGCTTAGAACAATGCCTGAGACACTTAGTAAGGTCTGTACAGTAATAATAAGTACTATTTAGGAGGTTTTTTAAAAGGGGTATCTTTTTCCACTTGAGAACTAACAGTCTTCTGGGTTCTCCTATCCTCTGCACAGATATCACGGCGTTTGGGCACAATGAGTTCCATGTCTGGGGCTGATGACACTGTGTACATGGAGTACCACTCATCACGGAACAAGACTTCATCTAAGCATGTGCATCCTCTATTCAAGCGCTTTAGGAAATGATACCCACATGACACTGGATGCTTGGCATCAACACTGGATGGGATTTCCAAAATTTCTCTACATATCCATGTACTTTCCCTAGTGTTGGCCAAACTGGTGTATATTCAGTATCTGTTCACCATGTTGGAAATGCATCCAGGGCTTGCTTCTGTCTTCATGGGTTATCGTCAGTTTAAATACAAGTGGGACACTATATTTTTTTATCTTTTCAGACTGCTTTTTGAACGTGTTGGAGGCTGGGTCATTTCTGTATATGAAAAATTACATTTGAATGCATTTATCTTACTGTTCACTGAATTAAAAAAAAAAGGGCAATATTTGATTTCTCTTCATTAAGGATGTGTTTTTATGTCTTATCATAGGCATGGGTTATGGCTGGATGACAGATCTCCAACAAGGCTCTACTTGGCAGTAGACAATAGAGGAATAAGATGGAGCTTGCCCTGGGAGTTATTGGGGAGACATACATGCCTCTTGGTGTTGAAAAATTGACAGATAGAGGACTCTGGGGATTAGGGAAGGTAGGTTTCTAGGCAGAAAGAGGAGCTTAAGAAAATCACAGTGTTCACTTTTCAGCTTGGGTGGTGTTGGGATACAACACTAATGGATTCAGGTTGGAGAGTCAACTCCTGCAGCTTCCTTCCTGTCCACTGGTCATGACTGTTGCCCACCAGGCTTAATCCATGATGTTGTTGTTGTTGTTATGTGCCGTCGAGTCAAACCCAACTCATAGCGACCCCTCCTTGGGTTTCCAAGGCAGTATCACTACAGAAGTAGGATTGCCCAACCTTCCTTCCGAGGAGTGGCTGATGGGTTTGAACCGCCAGCTGTCTGGTTAGCAGGCAAGTGTCTTAGCCACTATGCTACCAGAGCTCCCTAATCTATGATAGACACTGAATACATTAGGTACTTCAGTTCACCTAAAGACTATCACTTCCTCAGGAAGCCATTGCATGCAGCTCCTGATAGTTAACCATCTCCAAACCATCCTATTTTCTCTCCAAAATACATTTTAGAGATTGCTGGGAGGTTAGATTCCTCTTCTAATAGCAGTTTGGTGCCAATGGGTCTTTAAAGACTATTTCTTTTACTGTTGAAATAAAAGTCCTTGGACTTTTTTCTCTTGTTGCTCCTGATGTAAAATGTGTTGAGGAAAAGACAGACAGGGCAGGATTGCTCCATTAAAGAAAGATGTACACAGCCTGGACCATGGAAACTTGTTATTCTGAAAAGAGACTTGTTCTAATGGGCAGTAGTGTTGACACCTAAAACCAAACCAAATCCATTGCCATGAAGTCATCTCTGACTCTGTGTCTCTATTGGACAGAATACAACTGCCCCGTAGGGTTTCCATTGCTGTAAGTCTTTACGGAAGCAGACTGGCTCATCTTTCTCTTGAAAAGCAGCTGTTGGGTTTGAACTGCCAACTTTTTGGTTAGCAGCTGAATGCTTTAATCACTGCACCGCCAGAGCTCCTTTGTTCACACCTGAGGCATATAAAGCCCTGTGCTAAATAAGACCTCAAAATTAATTTTGGAGCCCCCTCCTGTAGCTCAGCCATGGCATTACATTTCCGAGTCAGCAAATTCAACATTAATACTGTTACTCTATGCAGGAGGTACAGACCACACTGTGGAGAAGGCAGTGTCCTTTTTGTTAGTGGTTTGTAACAACCATCTTCACTGAATTCTGCTTCTCTGAGCTGACATGTTGGGAATGGTCTCCTGATCTGACCAGTAGTTGGGGCCAGCAGCTAGCTCTCCACTCTGTCAATGCAAACCCCTAGGAAAATGGCAGTTGGGGTCTTCTGTTCAGAGGTGTATCTACAGAAATAGTGCCTATTGCAAACACTGAAATTGTATCCCTGTCCAAGCCACTGACACCAGTCTTAAGTATTTAGCATCATTGTGCACCTTGGACAGTTAACCCCACAATCAAAACTCCGCCTTGGGTCCAATCACTTCCATGGAAGAGATCACTTTAAAAAAAAAAAAAAAACTGGTTCTTTACAGTGCCCCACCCCTCCAACCACCACCCATGATCTTGTCCTTCCTTCAACATTGTGTAACTTTTTCCTGCCAGTTGGTGGAAGGTTACATTAGGAGGATATAGTTCCTAACATCTATAAACTCTTAAGAGGAAAAGAGGGCCTTTGATGTGAGCCGTGGACCAGGACAACTGGAGCCCCCAGTGCCAGGACAGGGTGCACAATGGGATATGGAGACTGGGCAGCAGGGGTGGGACTGAGCAGGAAAGGAGGGTGGCCAGGAGAAGAAAGCCCTGAAATCAGGAAAACAAACAAACAAACAAAATCTACTGAAGTCTACTCTGATTCAGCAGCCCTATAGGACAGAGAAGGAGCTCTGGTAGCATAGTACCTAAGGCATTTGACTGCTAACCAGAAGGCTGGTGGTTCAAACCCACAAGCAACTCTTTGGAAGGAAGGTTGGGCAATCTACTTCCGTAGTGATAACTGCCTCAAAAAACCAAGGAGGGGTCGCTATGAGTTGGGCCCGACTCAATGGCAGTGTGTTTGGTTTTGTTGGTTTATAGGACAGAGAATGGCCCCATAGAGTTTCCAAGGCTGTAAAGTCTCTATGGAAGCAGACTGCCTTATCTTTCTTCCATGGAATGGCTGGGGGGTTCAAACCACTGACTTTCTGGTTAACAACCAAATGCTTTAACCACTACACCAGAGCTCCTTAAAGTCAGGAAAGGGCTTTTAAATATGAAAATGATAGTTTTATATTGCTGAATAATCTCTGACTGCTGGCAATAGAAACTGTGATGGTTTAATAGAAACTCCTAAGTGGTGCTCCTCCTTTAAGTGCTGCCCAGGCCATGTGCCATACCTGCCATATCTTAAGCCTCTGCTCCTGCTCTGAGGAGAGGCCCTAGGCAGCCATACCTGAGGCCTGAGTTCACGCAGGCCTGAACACCTACCTTCCACCCATGATGGGATGGTACCCCCATGTATCTCAGACTTGATGTAACCATATTTTCAGATTCTCATTTCCTGTTACACCTCAGTACTTGAGATACTTAGATGATACCAAACACTTCTTGAATTTTCACATTTCTGTCCTTTTGCTGTTTTCTGTTCCCTAACCTGGCTATGTAATGAACTTCTACTTATTTATTCTTTAAAACTTATTCTTTATTCTTTATTCTTTAAAACTTATTTATATCTTGGCATAACCGAGTGAGTGCCTCCAGTGGGGCATCCATTTGTTGAAACATCTCAATGAGTATTCCATCAATACCTTCAGTGCAGCTCTGACTTCTTCTTTCAGTACTGTTGGCTCCTGATCATATGCCACCTCCTGAAATGGATGAAGATTGACCAGTTCTTTTTGGTACAGTGACTGCTTAAACAGTTTCTCTCAGAAAGATCAGCACAAGGCCAGTCCCCATGAGGCAGAGGTTAAAGATGTCCCAAAGGTCCAAACTACCCTACCACTCCATCATTTCAGACATTAACTCCTCCTCCTCCTCCTCCCAGTAATTTCCCCAGTCTTAGTGTTCTGTATTTCACTGTAACGCCTCACAGAACTCACAGACACCCAAGGGTTTGTCTCACATAATAGTGGTGGAGGCTGGCAGCTGGCGAGTCCCAGGTCCATGAGTGGGCCTGGAGGATCCTCTCAATTCTCGGGGTTTGATGCACCTCGATCAGCAGATCAGATGACGGCTCTGTTCCAAATCCAGGGGTGAGATGAGGATGAGCTAAGACACAAAACCGGAGCAAGAGGAGGGCGAATCTTCCCAGGAGATTCATAGGTATACCCTCTAGGAAGGTAAGGGTGGTGATTTGAATTATACCCTCCAGCAAGGCAGGACTCAAGATACATTCCATCTGTGTTACCCCAAAAGAAATAACCTAAATCCCATCAGAGAGTCGATTGCCAGTCGTTATAAGGAATGACTACTACCAGCTGCCCAGCCAGGTTAATACCTGACCTTAACTACCACACCACCCCAAACAGGCATGGATAATGGGATTTACAAAACATCACAGAATGGAGGACAATGGCTAGAAGGGCCACATCAAACAATTCACCACAGTGACTCTCTGAATTCCTTCCATCTTTTTTTTAATTTTTAAATTATTTTAAGAGGTTGTTTTACATTCAATGTAATGTGTACATTTGGTTTCATTCCACATTCACCATGTCCAACCCTAACCTAGACTCTTCCCCTCCCTACCCTATAACCCTCTCCTTGTGCCCCTCACATTCATGCACTCTTGTTTGTCTTGCATTTCCTCAGTTTGAATGTTGGTCCTCTGGTGTCCCATGGTCTATTGCTCTAAGGGATGTTATTACCATTGAGTGTGTGGGTGTGTCATCCTGGATTGAGTGGTCTGTGTGTACATCTTGTTAGCTATTGGACTGAGGGCCCACCCCTGGGGGTGAGTTTTATTACAGGTGCAGAATATATTCCAGGGCCATAGTATTGGGAGACTCCCCAGATTTCATCTGACCAGTAATTCTGGTCATTATTGAGTTTTTGGGTTTTGTTCCACATTTTCCCTCCCACTCTATCCAGGATCTCCAGATTTGATCCTTTCCTGAGTGATTGGCATTGGTAGCCAGGCACCATCTAGTTCTTCTGGTCTCGAGGGCCATTGTGTCCTAGGGCTGATTGCTTCTAAATGCCATTGGTTGTGTGTGTGTGTGTGTGTGTGTATTCTTCACTTTTGACGTGCTAGGAGACTGTAAGCTCCATCTTAGATGGCCGCTTGAAAGCTTTTAAGACCCCAGACGCTACTCACCATTGTAGGATGTGGAGCGCTTTTATGTATTTTGTTGTGCTAATTGAGTCTAGTGTCCCTTAGTACTATGGTCCTGATGCAGTAGAGCTATTGGATCTCTCTCCCATAGTGTCTGGTTGTCTGTGAGGGATTATTCTGTGTCTGTCTTTGACTGTTTCTGTAAGGACTGCAGGTATTTTGTATCACTGGTGCCTGTGCAAGATTAGCCTCAGCTGAATCTATCCTT